ACCAAATGTCCTCTGGGGCTTCAGAGAAACCAGATTCGTTTTTTTTCTCTTGTAAATTAACTAGCTTCTCCCTGCTGGTGTCTCCATGATTATGACTCTCTTAATAATTAATAAGTACCATCCTTCATGAAGAGTGTGTTTATAGTAGATTTATTAGGTTGTTTTTGCCCCAGAACAAGAGAACAGTATATGGTTATTTGAATTTCGCTTCCCATCCATGTAATTTCTTCTTTGCTTTGATAGTTTAAATATTTAAGCTTGTTTCTTAGTGTTTCTTATTAGATTAGTTGAGATATTTTATAATTAATTCTGTAGAGGACAGAAATATTTTTCTCCTGTTCATTTTTAAAATTAAAAAAATGGTAAACAAAAATAAAAGAGCTCAAAACCAATCTGATATAAAAGGATCTTAGTTAAACACTTTTCTTTGCCTTATTCATGAATGGAGGTAGGAATTCTCTTACATTTTAGCACATCTGTTTACCATTAAAAAATAAACCTTTTTTTTATAGCAAGCCCTTGCTGTATGTGAGTTGTCTTAATTTGTATTTCACTTAGATTGTCATAGTGTATGTGCCTACGATATTGAAGTTTGAACTTGGAGGGACTTAGTGTTTGGCTGGAAGGACATCCACAAGTTATATCGGTCCAAGCTAGATTTGAAACCTCTCAAATCCACGGGATTAGATATGAAATCTTGTGGAAACGGGTTTCTCATGAAAACTTTGGCACTTCTAATCATTACCAAGAAGATCTAGTAGGGAATTAGAAACTATGGATTTCTAATTTGATTTCTTTATTTACATGTTGGCACATAAAAGGTTGTTGTTTTGGAGTTTTTGAAAGAGCTCAAGTTTGATGAAAATGGAAAGTAAAAGAAACAAAACGTGAAGGGAAATTCGTGTAATTTTTTTTTTCTAAATGTGTTTGGAAATGTGAGAAGAACCTCAAGAGAGTGAATCTTATCTCCTTAAAGTCAAAGCTCTTGTTCACAGGTCCCAGGGTATATCTAGTAAAAGCTGTATTTACTCAGCATTTGACATTTTTAGGGCACTTTATAGTTCTACTGTCAGTTTTCCCTCGTTTAAGTTAAAGTTTAATTTTAGTATAGGGTAAGACCTGAACAGTCTACTAAAATGGCACCCCTGCCTGCCTTTTCCAGTTAGAGGATTTGGAGTTGAATACAAAAGTAGTCTGGGAACAATCCATTTCCTTACTATGAAGTTTAAACTGGATCCAGTGTCTTGGAAATGCATGTCTGATCATAAACACTCTCCAGGAGTGATTTCTGCTGTAACGGAACTGTACTGTACAATTTAAGGGAAAGGAAGGGGAAATAGAAGTGAATATTTTATATGGAACATATCACCCTGGCTGTGATTTTTAATGAGGTTAAGCAAATTATTAATAAAGTAGCTTTTTTCCCCATAAATTTTAAGAAATGCAGTCCTGAATCTTACTAATATTTGTCTTTTTAGCTACTTTTATATTTATGGTATAATAGTACCACATTTGACAGGAATACCATTGCTGAGGGTTTCTTCTAAACTTATAATATTTCATACACACACAAACACACACACATATATAATATTTCTTCCACGTGTATATACAATGTGTATCAATTTGGGAAACTAATAACTAAAATAAACTATAATCTATTTACTTATATTAGTTTCCTATGGTTGCTGTGTCAAATTATTATAAATATGTTGGCTTAAAACAACACAAATTTATTGTCTTTAAGATCTGGAGATCAGAAGACTGAAATGGGTCTCAGTGCTCTAAAGTCAAGGGGTTGACAGGGCTGTGTCCTTTCTGGAGGCTCTGGGAAAGAATGCAGTCCCTTGCCTTTTTCAGCTTGTAGAGGCTGCCCACATTCCTTGGCTCATGGCCTTTTCCTCCATCCTCAAAGCCAGCAATGACCAGTTGAATCTTTCTCACAGTGCATCACTCTGACACTGACTCTTCTGCTTCCCCCTTTCATTTATGAGAACCCTGGTGGTTACATTGGACCTACTAAAATAATCTTGGATCATATCCCCAATCTCAAGGTCATCTGATCAGCAACCTTAATTCTGTGTGCAACCTCATTCTCTCTAGCCATGCGACATTACATACTCATAGGTTCAAGGAAGCACGACGTTTACATCCTTAAGGGGGCATTGTTTTGCCAACCACGTCATCCGACCTTAATTTTAACATGATTATTCTGGGTTACCTTGACAATGTACTGAAGGAGGGCAAGTATAGAACCAGGAAGATGAGATAAGAAGCAGGAAACCACAGGAGATAAAATGGTGCCTTAGACAAGGGAGCAATGGAGGTGGTGAGAAGTGACAGCATCCTGAGTACGTTTTGAAGGTGATTTGCTGACCTATTAGATGTAGGATATGACAGAAAGAGAAGAGTTATGTGGGTCATTCAAAGTTTTTGGCCTAAGCAATAGGAAAAAATAAACTACCATTAATTAAGATGGAGAGAACTACTGAAAGAGCAGGTTTAGGGCTTCAGTGTTCAGCTTATGGAAGGCTCAGAAAGCCTCTTCTCCTAACTAAAGAAGCAAGTATCCCAGGTGTCTGGTAGTGATTCCAGTCATGTAGGTCTGTTCCCTAGCAGGGCCAGAGGTGCAGGCGCGCTGGGACTTTCTACCGACGAATTGAAGTTTGGATTCATTTGCTACCCTCTACTTCTTTTCTGTTTATGAGCAAAAGGAGGAGCGCTGTCTTTTTAATAACGATTCCCCCCGCTTTTGAACAACTTCTAACGTGTCTAAATTGTCAACAAGTTGGATTTACTGGATAAGGACTGGGAGGGTCGTAAAGACATAACGTCTTTTTTGCCTTTGCAAAAAGACCTCTGGTCTTCCAGTGATTTATGACCTACTGGACCGGAGAGATTGTTGTAACGTCTTAATATATTCCTGAACCTGTTTCATATGACCATGTGTGCCAGACCATCCTGAACTGCCTGTGTCAACAGTGACTTAAGAGATGGGAGTTTCCTCCAGCCCTTTTTCTGCAGGGATTCCAGATACTTCCAACCAAAATTAGTTGAGTGGCAGTTCTGTATTATTACTGGGCTTTTATATCTTGTTTCTTGGAATTGATGATTCCTTCTAAAGACCTCCTGATGGTCGATTATTTAATTATTCTAGTGGTTTCTGCAGCCAAAGAGGCCTCATGGAACTTGAAAAAACAACAGTTGACATATATTAGGAGAGTTTATTATGTTCCCAGATGTTATGTTAAGCACTTTCATGGCTTATCTTATTTAATTCTTATAACAAACCGGTGAGGTTGTAAGGATTATTTTGGCTACATTTTGCACATGGAGTCATTGAAGCTAAGAAAGGGTAGATATTTACAGATAGAAAATGAATGTGCTGGGGTTCCAACCAAGGTCACCTAACTGTAGACACTGTGCTCCTAACCGCTGCACTATATTTTTCTCCCCATATTGATCCCTGCCATCTTTTTGTGCTTGACACTATTGTATAATTGGTGTTAATTTGCACCTAACATAGCCCATGGCTGGCTTTTTGCTTCTTTGTGTGACTTCTCAAGAGAGCTAAGCCTAGCAGAACCCAGCCCTTCAAAAGGGAAAGGAACTCCTAGCTAACAGGGCCATCTTTGGTCTTGCTGCTAGTTAGGACCCAAGGCTCCTGGTGCTGGGCAGTGGTGAAGAAGAGAACATGATGATGGCCTTCAGCCTACCCACCTTGCCAAGTACTTCCATTCCCCAGTTCCATTCCTACTGAATATCTGACTGTAGTAGCCCCCCTACTGCAGAACTGTCAGCCACCCTGCCTGATCTCTCTTCATCTGGCAGTACCAGAACACTGACTGCTCACCCTGAGGAAACCTTGTAACTGCTGAATCCACCCTGATTTGTTTAGAAGCAGGCTTCCTTGGGTATGTGACCTTCATGAAGACATGGATTGTGTCTGTGTTGTTCACTGTGGTGTCCCTAGCACCAAAGTATAAGGCGCTGAGTGAATTCTTGTGGAATGATCAGATTATGCACCCCCATGTGTACATACTTATGGGGAAACAGGCGTCTATGCTCTAGCAGTGCTCCGAGGCCGTTATCAGTGCCGCTAGATACCGCAGGGGAGCTGCCAACAGTCCCGTGCTCCCCTGCTGACTCCAGAATGACCATTCTGCACCCACTTCATGGGAAAGGTTTGGGTTTAATGTTACAACCCCTAAACCCCAGCCCTTGACCTGACCAGAGGCAGATACTTTGGAAGCTTCGAGTTTGCCAACCAGTGGCAACCATACTTAAGAAGTGGTGGTGAAGAGATTCCCCACATACAGAAGACTTTAAGCACTAGCCTACAGCGAAAACTGTTTTCTTTGACAGAGGTAGTGATGTCATCATTTCTCTCTCCCATCACTTCATGTTCCTCTGAAGTCTTGAGTCCACTCAGTCACCTAGAACTTGTAACCCCTCTCCTGCTAGATCCACAGTGTTTTCAGGTTACTTTATAGAATTATCTTGCCCTCTACGCACAATGCTATTTCCCGAATGATAAACAGAATTCTATATTTTTGTGTAGATTTTTTGAGATTTCATCCTTACCTGCGTATCCTTTGTGCTGCCTACAGGAAGAGTGTTTGTACGGTATTTCAGGAATATATTATTCAGGAATATATTATTCCCCTGCCTAGACACACACACACACACACACACACACACACACACACACACACACACA